CCGATAAGAAATTTAAATATCTCCACCAGATGTCGACCAAACGATCTGAAACTTTTACCAGTGATAGAGGCATATTCAAAGTTTCTGTCCATAAAGACATGTCTAGAGAGGAGACCATTCGTTAAGTATCACTATTGACCACAACATAAAAATATTACTTTTTCAAAGATAGAAAAAGAAATACACAAAGGGCTCAAAAGTCACTTTGCCGAACAAAAACAATTGAGTATCTCCATTATGGCTGGAGCAAACCAGCTGATTTTTTTATCAATGATAGAGACATGCTCAAGCTTTATAATCATAAAGACATGCCTAGAACAACCCTTTGTTAAGTATATTGTTTTTTGTCCTATTTGTGAAAAAGTAAAATTTTTGTGTTGAGGTCACTAGTGATACTCAGCAAAGGGTCTCTCTAGGCATGTCTTTATCGATATAAACTTTGAAGGTGCCTCTATCACTGATAAAAATTTCAGATCGTTTGGTCGACATCCGGTGGAGATATTTAAATTTCTTATCGGAGTGTTATTTGTGGGACACCCTGTATATATATAGGGTGTGTCAAAATTATAAGACCTCCTCTTGCGTTTCGAGAACAATAAAGATTTCATTAACTGAAGAGGGTTTCATTCTCAATCTAATGTCATGTTCATAGACACCTAGTAGCAGTCTATCATGTGCCATATTGGTTTCAATTCGATCCATTAGCATTAATGAATAAATTCAAAAACTTTTGAATTTCAGCTGTCTCAAAATTATAAGACCCCTCCCCCTCCCCTTATAAATATAAAAATATTCAATTAATGCTAACTTTACCAACTCAAATGATTCTTTTGAGAATTCATTTGAAAGAGGAGACATTCAGCGGTATGCTGAAAAAAATAGATTGACGAAGACTAGATTAACTTTCCTACCGTTTAGGAAATTAAACGGTAGAAAAGTTAAACCTGAAAAATATCACTATGTAGTTCGAGAAAAATAAATTTTTGCTTCTTTAATGTAACGAAATCACATTTGAAGGATACCATTGGATAGAGAATCAAAAGTTGAATATAGTACATACGTTTCCACAAAAGACTTTCAGGCTCTTAATAATGTGCAAAGATATTCGAAATATTTTTTTTTCAGAGATTATGTGAAAAATGTCTCTCTTCGTGAGAAAGACTTCTGATTTTAAATATAAAAAAGCAAATAATTTTTTTCCAAGGATATCAACAGACCGAGCGTCAAATTCTGCACAAAATAAGCTATTTTTCTGTTTTCGTAAATTAGTTGCAGAAAATTTTAAAATAGAGTCTCACAATGTGGACAAGGTGACGTAAAGTGGGGAACCAGACGGTAAATTGTTCTTTACTTGAACTCTGATTTTTTCAGTCGTATCACATTCAAAAAAGCTGAGTCGTATCTCATATAAAAGCGTGAGCAATGCCCTACAAAATGCATATTTATTTGTTATTAAAAAGCTTTGCTCAAAAAGGTTTTATTAAAAATACTGAGAATCTGTTTTATCGCCTGGCTGTCCGGTGTAGCTCATCTTGCCTGCATCGTGACACTCTATTTTAAAATTTTCTGCAACTGATTTACGAAAACAGAAACATAGCCTATTTTGTGCAGAATTTGACGCTCGGTCTGTTGATGTCCTTGGAAAAAAATTATATGCTTTTTTTTATTTAAAATCAGAAGTCTTTCTCACGAAGAGACATTTTTCACATAATCTCTGAAAAAAAGATATTTCGAATATCTTTGCACATTACTAAGGCCCTGAAAGTCTTTTGTCGAAACGTATGTACTATATTCAACTTTTGATTCTCTATCCGATGGTATCCTTCAAATGTGATTTCGTTACATTAAAGAAGCAAAAATTTATTTCTCTCGAACTACATAGTGATATTTTTCAGATTTAACTTTTCTACCGTTTAATTTCCTAAACGGTAGGAAAGTTAATCTAGTCTTCGTCAATCTATTTTTTTTTCAGCATACAGCTGAATGTCTCCTCTTTCAAATGAATTCTCAAAAGAATCATTTGAGTTGGTAAAGTTAGCATTAATTGAATATTTTTATATTTATAAGGTGGGGGGGGGGGTGTCTTATAATCATGAGACGGATGAGATTCAAAAGGTTTTGAATTTATTCATTAATGCTAATGGATCGAATTGAAACGAATATCGCACATGATAGACTGCTACTAGGTGTCCCTGAATATGACATTAGATTGAGAATGAAACCCTCTTCAGTAAAAGAAATCTTTATTGTTCTCGAAACTCAAGAGGAGGTCTTATAATTTTGAGACACCCTGTATATTCGAGAAAGGAGTCGAATTAAAAGTATTGTTTAGATTGTTAATTCCTACTCGTCATAGTTTGGGAAATGAGTTAAATTCATTGAATAATATCGAATGAGCATTCTTAAAGTCCCAAATTTAAGAATGCTTTGTCATACATTTAGTTGCAGTAGTGATAAGAACCTTTCACTGAAATAATTAATGCAATAAAATCGATGAGTTAAGTCACGTCTGATGATAACTAATTTCTTCTGTTAGAGACGGGTCTGACTTCATTTATTTTATTGGTTTAAAATACGCATACCGACAAATACATAAAACAACACTCTTCATTGAGAATGCATGTATTTATATGCACATAGAGGATAAGAAAGACAAGAGAAAAGAAGAGAAAAAGGTATATGAGAACATATTATGTATAATTTTGTGTGATATCATGAATCATAACACTCTCTCGTGTTACGCAAAAAAAAAAGAAACAATGTGTCATCTATTTTTTTTTATTAAATGTGGAGAAAACAATGACAGAAGAAATGAGAGATAACACATAACAGAGATAAAGAACAAGAACGAATAAAATTACAGAACAAAAACGTGAAGAAAAAAAGCCTCTTACTGTACAACAATATTGTTGTCAGAAATCCTTAGAAATGCTTGAGTTGTGAAATATATACATATATATGTCTGATAAGACAAGTTTAGTGTGATGTTGCACGACGAAATAACAGTTACATGATTATGTAAAAAAACGAAATGCTTCTCCAATAAATAAAAGTTGAATAAGTAAAGCAAATGACTTGATATCTGACACAAAAGGATCCTTAACACGTGTGCCACCAAGTAGAACACTAATTCAAACAGAATTGAAAACAATTCGCTAGAAAAAATAATCAAATATAAAGAATAATACATGAAGTATGATAAGACGGATTGGGAAATAATAAAATGAAATTACTCGAGTTTCATATTAAATAAAAGAATTATTTTGAAATGTGACAAATGGCATTAAGAGTATAATAGAATATAAGATTGGTCATAACCTATAAATATTTATTCTTAAATTCAATAATAAATGTAAGTTCACTGTGTCTAGCAAATATATTCTTATATATGATGATTAATCCGTACAAACTCAGTAATTTAACACTAGTAAAAAATTCAATATTATAATATGTCTCAATGATTCATAGAATACTTCAATTATCTGGTAAAGGAGTAAATGATGTTGACCTAATTACATGTCCTGAATATTCAATTGTTTGTTGAGCAATTTTACATTTTGTTCAAGTTAATGTTAAATTATGTAGCGGTAAAGCTTTTAAAACTTTCTCGAAATGAGTTGAATGTGCATCATAAGTACAAGAGATAATAACTATATTATTTAAGCAAATTAAAGAAAAATTAGTACATTATGATAATACATAATTCATGATCCTTTGAAAACTTTGAGAAGTATTACGAAGACCTTGAAGAAGAACATTTCATTCAAATATACCAAAAGAGATGATAAAAGTTGTTTTAAAACGATCTTTTTCATCAATGGATAGATCTCAAAAACCAAACTTTAAATCAAATTTGGAAAAGTAGTGATAATCTGTGCCTAATGCTTGAAGAGTAATTTTCATATTCGAGAGCGAACAATCATCTTTGATTATTATTGAATTTGATTTTTGATAATCAATAACTAATCTTCAATTATTATCTTTCTTCTTTACAAACAATATGGAAGCTACATAAACTAATTGAAATTCACGCACAAAAACCAGTGTCGAGCAATTTATTAATAATCAAACGCATTCTTGAATTTATAGTTGGATAATCAAGATAGATTTTTGAAATAGGTGATGTATAAGAATACGGTTCTATACCATGAGATATTTTTGTTTGTGCAACTGTTATTTGCTTGCATCAAAAGTAGATTCAAAATTTAAATAATCAATGACCGAATTTAATTATTCTGAACTTGATTAGTAATATGATCTAATAAATTCAAAATTTGTTGTTGAGCTGTAGCAAATTGTGATGATGTCGCAATTGTATTTAATGGTATATTTGGTGTTGCTTTCGTAGAATTTAATAATTTTACAAGAAAACCAATAGGTGCTATTCACATACTCATAGGTAGCGTGATCTTTAGACCATTAAAACTAAATAAAATGGATCTTTTCCTTTGGTTGAATTTCTAAATCATATTTTGAAAGATAATTCATATCTAATATAAGATTTGCACATAAATGTTGTTACAAATGCTGAAATATTTGTTATAATGCCACTTATGCGAATAGTCAAATCAACAATTCCTACAACAATGAAAGAAGTTAGTCCATCGGCAATAAAAATTTTCTGATGATACACACGTGAAAAGCTTAATTCATAATTCAATTATAAACATTTTTCATTGATTACTGAATATTGTGCTCTAGTATCAATCAAAATTTTCATTTGTTTGTTGTTCACATATGCTGAAAAACAATAAGAGAAGACTTAGATGGAGATTGAGCTGAATAGGTGAAGTCAATATCATCAATCATTGACCTTGCTTTCCGAAATGGTAACAATGTCAATCTATCTGATCTAAAGAGCCACATTAAGAACAACGCCAAAATAGTTATTGCTGCTTGAAATTATTATTTCGATATATATTATCACTAAGCAATGGTGTTATAAAATTTTTTAATGATTTACGATTATGTACTTGACATGTTGGATGAGAAGGCTGGTTTTATTCATATGAATTATATGAAGATGATTGGGAAATTCTATTGAAATAACGTTGTAGATCAGACTCATTAGATGAATAATGATCTTTATAATAATGATTATCATCATTGGAATTTCGAGAATAACCTTTAAAATCATTTGTTGATGTGGCATTAGCTGTTGAACGTGAAAAAGAAGTAGATGGTATTAAATCATCATCGATCATAGAACTGAAGGCAAAGTTGGTGCTTCATGCCATAAGTTCTTCAGCAACTTTAACTTATTTCAAAAAATGTTGTACAGTTTTTGAATACTTTCTTAAGGTTTCAGTAGATGAAGATAAACGAAGCCCATTCATAAGGTAGTGGACTTTTATAGGTTCATTCATATGTGAATTAGTCTTTTACATTAACTTGATCATTTCAGCATAATATTGAGTATTAAATTGATGAACCCCTTGTTAATAGTGTTTTAATCTTTTAAATGCTAAATCACGTTGTAAATTTTTGATGAATATGATTTTTTCAGTTTCATTAATAAATGTAGACCAATATATGAATTATTCTTGATGTTATTTATACGATTGATGTGGTTCTTCTCTAAGACATATATGAATCAAATTTAATTTATCTAAATCGCATAGATTCATGATATTAAATTGTTGTTCAATTTCATCAAACCATGTAATAACATTATCTATTCCACCAGAAAATTTGATTGGATCCTTAACAAATCTATCAATTAATGCTTTACTTATCGTTGATAATAGACAGAATTTGATAATCAAATATTATTTGCATCAAATGATATTATAATATTACAAGTAATTGATGTTCTTTTATCATTTGAAAGGTTTACATAATTATTATCTAAATTATCATTAGTAGCAATAGGTGAATTTTATGATCAATACTTAGATTTTTGTTCGATAGAAACATCACGATACGGTGATTTTTCTAATTTAAAATATTCGATTCATGTACTTTATTATTAATTGTTGTTTTTTTTTATAATGGCCATGATTGTAAATAATTTTGTAAGTCATTTTTGAAATCATTGCATGTAAAAGTACTATGTCGCTTTAAAACTGGTAAACCGTAATTGTAATGTACCAGCTAATTTTGTACCTATTTCAATAACACCAACATCATGAGAGTATTTTAGCTTATTATGAATATCCTCAGCTTGAGATAAAAATTCACTAACATTAGCTTCATGCGATGATATTAAAACAGGAATTTCTCAAAGAAACTTATTTTTCAATTGCAATTGTTTACGCTGCATATTATTCTAGTTTTAAAATATTATTGGTTTCAGATATGATTGAAATTAATTGCCAAACTATACGAGGATTGTTTAGAGTATATGAAGAAATTCTTGTTTTACTAATGAAGATAAAGTAAAAGTCGATTTTATTTGGGATTTTGATGTAACTTTTGTTGGTTTTCAACGTTCAGATGAAAGTAGAAGATCAATAATAGATGAGTCAGTCAATGTAAGTGCATTACGTGTATCCATCAAAGTTCAATATTCATAATGACAAAATGAAGTGCATGTGTTTCTTTTATTCTGCCAGGGGTCGCCACTTGATAAGGATGATTCATAGTCTTTTTCAGTTCAGAACACACACACGCATACACATTATCACATAATAACATAATCACATATGGGAGTGGAACACATATTTATACATACAGAGAATGAGAAAAAAAAGAGAAATAGAAAGACATATGATAAGAGCAATACATGATCTTGTGTGTTAACATGGATCATAATATTGACAATCTCGATACTAATTCTTGGTTCGTAGCTTGTTGTTGCTAAAAAAATTGTAAATTTTTTAAATTAATGGTTTAGAGGTGAATGGAGATTAATAAACGACTCACATTCTCGTTCCGTGTTTCACTACTAATATATTAAAAAAAACAACAGTTGACAGTGAGAGACATTTTCACACGAGGTATCATTGCTTAGAGACATTCATTCTAAATAAACAGTTATGCGTGGACAATTATTTATGAGGACGACAAATCTGGTGCACTTTTTCATAAACACTTTTCAAAGGACAGTTAAGACTCAATTCTTCCAATGAGTCTGATAAAAAAATATAATAATTTTAGAGTATATAGCATGGAAAAAAAATCTGGAATTTGGAAGAAAAGTCAGTAAATTCAAAAGAAAAAATTCCAGTGGACCTTTTTATCACAATCTTTGATGCAAAACAAGCATCTTGTTTTTACCAATAGATGGTTTATCCTTGAAACACATAATAGTAATTTTTTCGTTGATTATAGTAACAATAATTAGATAATGAGATAAATGATCCTTGTGACTGTCAAAAAAATGCGAATCATATCAATCAAAAGTACAATGGTAATATCTTGTTACACAAGAAATGAGAAAGAAAAAAAAGCATAGTATGATGGTGTACGTTCTTTTTTATGTACTTTGAGTATTGATGATATTGAGTGACGAAAGAATGTTGAGCGATTGTTAATTTTAGCCTTCATCTGATATATTCTGAATGCGATTTTTCTTGGTGTTATGAAAAAAGCGCTGTGAAATAGCCTTTGACGGTGGATAAGATTCAGATATGCTTCGTTTTGAACTAGTGGCTGTCGACGCTGAAAAAACACAATATTTGAAAGATATGGTACTCCAATAAGTAACAAATATTATAGAACAAAACACGATCATCAGCACTTTCATCGTAGTTTCTGGAACTCTCATGCAAAACATTTCATAAAAGAACACAAAAACTCAATTTTTTATCGATTATGATCGGAAAATAGTCAAAACTATCAAAGTTTTATCGATTATTCTGTTGTTTTTACTAGAAGCAACTTACAATCGTGCCAAAAATAACTTTTCATCAATTTTGTGTTATTAAAAATGACAGAATTTTAACCCAGCTTTGTGTTTTACATTGATTGTAATAGACTACTTCATGATTTTCAAGTGTATTTTTCGCATTATTTTTTTTGCAAAAGTTCTCATTTTGCACCCTTCGGTATTTCTGAGTCAGAACCAGTTTAAATCTGTTCAAATTTCATAACCAATTCAAAATACAGTTGCTTTCTGGTTATCGTAGATTCTTAACCAAAGCATCATACAAAACTATATGGCTGCGAAACATATACAGTCTATATTCATTAACGCTAATGTCGATTATCAAGATAATTGCAAATAGTAAATGGAATGAACGCCGATGTGATCTAGTATGGACAACAATAAGTTCCTTTTTCAATAGTTTCCTTCTTTCTCTTGTATTGTTATCTGTACATTTATGTCATTATAGAGGCAACAGAGTGAACTGTATTTTTATACCTATATTATATTTTGTTTACGTGCTATTTTGTTTTATTTTGTACTTATTTCAAAATAATTAATTTTAGTGACATTGAGAGAACAGAAACAACAATGCAAGGAAGAAATATATGCTATTTAACCATAAAAAAGACATCTTCAGGCATATCTACGCGCTAAAACTGAAAACGGTTAAATAGTATATTTTTCTTGGTTTCATTGTTGTTTATGGTCTCTCAATGTCAGTAAAATGAATCATTTTGAAATAAATACAAAATAAAACAAAATAGCACGTGAATAAAATATAACATATGTACACAAATACAATTGACACTATTACTTACAAAAATGACATTCAAATCTATAGATAATAATACAAGAGAGAAAGAGAAAAAGAAACAATGGAAAAAAGAATGCACTTTTATCTTCGGGAGAGTGTAGGTTGTGTATACTATGTTGAAGACGTTAGTATGAACTGATTCATCTGTTGTACCGTTCTTACTAACCGACTTGTTCAAGGTGATACTAAAGTAGATGAAATGATTAAGAAAAGTGGAAGAAGATGGCTAAGATGTAAAATCTTATACCTACATAAAACAGCATTCTAAATTCGTTTTTTGATAAATGATCCTCAATGATTTATATATATATGTATATGTTTTCATGTCTCATATAACGAATAAAATATTTTGATCAATTCCTTTGCAGTACTGATTCCTGGAATAAATACAAAATTGAATGCCATCCGCAATAATAATCGGAAAAATATTATTAAAACACAAATGATACAAAAGTAAATGGTTGCTTTGTCGTTCTTTACCGTTTGACTTTCGTTTTCTTACTATCCGTTTCCTCTTCATTATTAGCATTGCGAATATTTTGAATGCATTTAACGATGAAAGTCTGGCATTATATAAGTAAACAGCTAATTTAAAGAAGTACAAATGGGTATTTCGTTAGAATTAAGTCTTGAGACATTCATACTTCAAAATGGATAGGAAATGACTACGCAGTATACAATTTTCAAATTTAGCGACCAGTTTGTGAATAATATTTTAATTCGCTTGTATTAAATTGTCCAAAATAATTTGTCTCTATTCAGCATCGAATATCTGCACTAAATTAGCTGTTTTTTTGGCAACTTCATTGGTAATGTTAGTATTTATAAATGGGAAGTTCAAGTTGGTATGGTACACCACTTATCGGAACATTAAGTAATTAATACAAGTCTCCAATGGAGTAATATAATCGATAGCTATGTGCCTACAGCTGATTCATATTTACGAAGAGATTCGTCGTTGACTAATTACCTAATCATAGTGATAAATATTCATGATGTGAATTTCTCAATACTGATGCAATTTTTTGGATATTTGGTATTATTATCGCTTACTCAAATTAGACAAAACATAAATTCTATTTAAATACAGGTGAAAGAGTACATATGCATTTATCTATTAATTGTACTTTTTTGTTTGATTGCTGAAAAAATTATGATGTCGTCTCAATAGAAAAACATCCATAGTTATCGAATTCATGAGAACAACATTCAAGACAACTCTTGACGGTTAATCTGCTTATTAACTCGTCATGCTTAAGTGCAAATCCTGAGCAGTTCTTCAAAACCATTGATTCATAATATAGACAAAAGAGTGATATACTGGAGTTAATAGTGAAACATATCATCGTAAACTCTATGATTCTCGTTTTTCTACTTTCTGTATTATTGATTTTTTCTCATCTTCTTTGATGTTCTCTCCTTAATCATCTCTCTCTGTTGCTGTTTCTGTTATTATTGTTACTATTATTGACATTTATTTTTCCGAACTGTTTCTCATCTTTTATCATTATATAAATATTTTTAGTTGTAAATTAAGATTTTTTTATTCTCGTTTAAAATAAAATATGACACCACTTACA